ATTCATGTCACCTTCATTACCACTCTTGCACATTCTTGTCACCTTCATTACCACTCTGCACGTTCTTGTCACCTTCATTACCACTCTGCACATTCTTGTCACCTTCATTACCACTCTGCACGTTCTTGTCACCTTCATTACCAATCTGCATTCATGTCACCTTCATTACCACTCTGCACGTTCTTGTCACCTTCATTTACTGCTTGCTGCACGTTCTTGTCACCTTCATTACCGACTCTGCACATTCTTGTCACCTTCATTACCACTCTGCACGTTCTTGTCACCTTCATTACCATTCTACATTCTTGTCACCTTCATTACCACTCTGCACGTTCTTGCCACCTTCATTACAATCTGCACATTCTTGTCACCTTCATTACCACACTGCACGTTCTTGTCACCTTCATTACTGCTCTGCATGTTCTTTCTCACCTTCATTACGGATCTGCACATTCATGTCACTTCATTACCTGCTGTGCATGTTCTTGTCACCTTATTACCGCTCTGCACGATCTTGTCACCTTCATTACCACTGTGCATGTTTTGTTGTCACCTTCATTATGCTCTACACATTCTTGTCACCTTCATTACCATTCTGCACATTCTTGTCACCTTCATTACCGCTCTGCACGTTCTTGTCACCTTCATTACCGCTCTGCACATTCATGTCACCTTCATTACCACTCTGCACGTTCTTTTCACCTTCATTACCACTCTGCACGTTCTTGTCACCTTCATTACCGCTCTGAACATTCTTGTCACCTTCATTACCGCTCTGCGCTTTCTTTTTACCACCCATTACTTGCTCTGCACGCTTTCTTTTCCCTTCATTACCACTCTGCACGATCTTGTCACCTTCATTACCGCTCTGCACATTCTTGTCACCTTCCTTACCGATCTGCACATTCATGTCACCTTCATTACCAAATATAAATAGAATAGCAATAAAAGTGAGCGCTCTATGGAGTAAGCTGCTGGACACTCAAGGAAACCAAAATAAAGCCTTATAACAGATACAAATAAATAGTGCAGCGTTATAAATGCAATGCAAATTGATATGCAAATTATAATCTAAATGACTATACGTACAGTAAAACAGTCCATATGTGAGAATAATAAAATATTAAAAAAAGAACAAATGTTCTGTATTGTCACTAATGACTAATGGATAATCTATATAGTGCTCTCCATATAATCTGTGATGATGTTCCAAGTAATGTAGAGAGATTGTGCACTCACCAGATGCACAATGTAAATGTGCATTGAATAAAATCCACAGAAGCCTCCTTTAGGATCTGGTCTGGGATAAGGGAAGATGTCCTCCCTCTTGGTGGTTGGTCTGGTCAGGAACACACGGAAAATGATCCTCCCTCTAAGTGGGTAGTGGTGGTGGGAGCACACAGGATGGTAAGGAAAGTGGTGAGTGCACAATCTCTCTACATTACTTGAACATCATCACGGATTATAAGAGAGCACTATATAGATTATCCATTAGTCATTAGTGACAATACAGAACATTTATTCTTTTTTCAATATTTTATTATTCTCTACATATGGACTGACTGTACGTATAGTCATTTAGATTTAATTTGCATATCAATTTGCATTAACATTTATAGTGCTGCACTATTTATTTGCACCTTCATTACCCCTCTGCACGTTCTTGTCACCTTCATTACCGATCTGCACATTCATGTCACCTTCATTACCACTCTGCACGTTCTTGTCACCTTCATTACCGCTCTGCGCTTTCTTGTCACCTTCATTACCCCATGCTTTCTGTCACCTTCATTACCACTCTGCACGATTTTCACCTTCATTACCACTCTGCACGTTCTTGTCACCTTCATTACCGCTCTGCACGTTCTTGTCACCTTCATTACCACTCTGCACAATCTTTGTCACCTTCATTACCGCTCTGCACATTCGTATCACCTTCATTACCGCTCTGCATTCTTGTCACCTTCATTACCGCTCTGCACGATCTTGTCACCTTCATTGCCGCTCTGCACTTTCTTTTCAACAACATGCTTGCTCTGCACATTCTCATCACCTTCATTACCGCTCTGCACTTTCTTCTTACCACCATGCTTGCTCTGAATTTTCTTTGGAGCCATACTGGATGTCCGAGACAGTGTGTGATAAAAAGCACACAAAAAACCTTTACAGCAAGCATGGCCTGACTGGCATAAAGATATAGCAGCACTTGGGTTAAATCCTTATATACTGTGTATGTATATATATATATATATATATATATATATATATAAAGTGAGGAACAGAAGTATTTGAACACCCTGCAATTTACAAGATCTCTCACTTAGAAATTATGGAGGGGTCTGAAATTCCATTGTAGGTGCATTCCCACTCTGAGAGATAGAATTTAAAAAAAAAATCAGGAAATCACATTGTATGATTTTTAAAGAAATGTATTTGTCTTGCACTGCTGAACATAAGTATTTGAACACCCACAAAATCAGTGTTAATATTTGGTACAGAAGCCTTTGTTTGCAATTTCCTGTAGTTCTTGACCAGGTTTGCACACACTGCCACAGGGATTTTGGCCCACTCCTCCACACAGATCTCCTCTAGATCTGTCAGGTTTCGGGGCTGTTGCTGAGCAACACTGAGTTTCAGCTCCCTCCAAAAATGTTCTATTGGATTTAGGTCTGGGAGACTGGCTAGGCCACTCCAGAACCTTGATATGATTCTTACGGAGCCACTCCTTGATTATCCTGGCTGTGTGCTTCCGGGTCGTTGTCATGTTGGAAAGACCCAGCCACGACCCATCTTCAATGCTCTGACTGAGAGAAGGAGGTTGTTGCTCAAAATCTCACAATAAATGGTCCCATTCATCCTCTCCTTAATACAGTGCAGTCAGCCTGTCCCCTTCGCAGAAAAGCACCCCCAAAGCATGATGTTACCACCCCCATGTTTCACAGTAGGGATGGTGTTCTTGGGATGCAACTCATCCTTCTTTTTCCTCCAAACACGACGAGTGAAGTTTTAGACCAAAAAGTTCTACTTTGGTCTCATCTGACCACATGACTTTTTCTCCCATGACTCTTCTGGATCATCCAGATGGTCATTGGCAAAGTCAGGATAAAACAGAGCTTTACACAATGTAAATTAACCCTTTAAGTTCCACAGTGAGTATAACAAGCATGCTTTACTACATATACAGACTGATTTTACTTTTGTGGGTTTAGTAACACTTTAATGGTTTAAAAAAAAAAAGCATATTATTTAGTATCTGGTAGCTACTACTAGAGTGGTTTTATTTCCCAGTAATCATTTTACTTTTCTTCAGTATGGATTCTATAGCATAGTTACATTGGTCCAGCCTTGCATTTTTCTCAATCATAGAATGCCTTGCATCCACTGATAAAAATGCAAGACATTCTGTGAATGGACCCCCCTGCATTCACTAGCACCAGAGCAGCCACTTGGCATGGGAACCAGAAGACATCAGTTGATCACAGTAGTAATGGAGATTTCCAGCTTCCACAGAGTTTGCTCAGGTATGGCATATGCATGCTTACTTTGGTCCAATTAGACCAGTGTAACTATGCTATAAAATTCCTACCCTGAGTTCAGCTTTAACCTAAATACAGTAAGTCTCCTTTGCTATGGGCTCTATCCAGTTTTTCCCTTTAGATTTCAAGCCTTGTTGTATCCCTTCTATAGACCAGTGGTCTCCAAACTGCAGCCTGGGGGCAGATGTGGCCCTTTGTTTGCCTTTATGCAGCCCCTGAGACACTATTCCTCCCATTGACAGCAACAATGAGGCATAATTCCTGTCATTGATTCAACAATAGGGCACTGTTCCTCCCATTGACACCAATGATGTGGCAACTATTCCTTCCCAGATACCAACAATGGGGCACTTTTCCTCTTACTAATACCATTGATGGGGCACTGTTTACTCCCATTGATGCCAGTTAATTTTCTACTCTCATTGGCCACAATCCAGCCCCCCCAAAGTTTGAAGGACAATAAGCTGGCCCTTAGTTTAGAAAGTCTGGAGACACCTGCTATAGACAACTACTACTAGAATCACGCTTTCGGAAATACGGCTTAAAAAATATAGAAATCTAAAAAACAACAAAGAAGAAGAAAAATAGGGAAATTTTCAATTGTATACTTGCAGATATCTCGGATGCATTGTTTGTATATCTTTGAAGAACCTTTTCCCAATAACACGAAATACTATCCAAGTTGTCAGCAGCCACAGAGACCAACATAAGCACAATGACGATCTTCATCTTAAGAATAATGAGAGGATCATAGGTGATGTTCATATTTATAGGCCAAAGTTGTGCTGACACAATGTGCTCTGTATGAGCCAAGAAGAACAATGGATATGAAGACCCTAAGGCAACCCATGAACTGGATCATTTCTTGGTTTCTTTACAAATATTTAGAAACTTTTATTCTTCAACTTGGCCAGGACAGTGTATTTGTAAGTCAAACAAAATAACCAAAATTGTAAATGTCTCTTTACTTTATATGGTAACCAGTTCTAACTCATGTATCCTGACCGGTTGGGGTCAGTTTAGGGACATCAAAAAGGAAAATCTCCCCCATTTAAGATTCCCAGTATGATAGGGGCTGACATCAGATGAACTGAAATTGTTCTAAAGCCTCATATGAACTTCGGCATTTTCATTAACAGTGTTATTGAGAAGTCACCTGCATTTGTAGTAAAGATTTGGCAGAGATTAAGACATTTTGGACCAATTCTGGTTTAACCACTAGCCTAGAGGGCACTTATACCCCCTTCCTGTCCAGGCCAATTTCCAGCTTTCAGCGCTGTCACACTTTGAATGACAATTGCGCGGTCATGCAACACTGTACTCATATGACATTTTTATCATTTTTTTGTGACAGATAGAGCTTTATTTTGGTGGCATTTAATCACCTCTGGGTTTTTTTTCTTCTTAAACAAACCAAAAACCAGTGAAAATTTTGGGAAAAAAAATCTTTTTTCTTAGTTTTTGTTAAACAATTGTGTAAATAAGTGATTTTTCTCCTTCACTGATGTGCGCTAATGAGGCTGCAGTGATGGGCACTGATAGGCTGCACTGATGGACACTGATAGGTGGTACTGATGGGCACTGATGAGGAGGCACTGGTAGGTGGTACTGATGGGCATTGACAGGCATCACTGATGGGCACTGAAAGGCAGCACTCATATATGGCACTGATAGGCGGCACTGATAGATGGCACTGACTGGCACTGATAGGTGGCACTGTTAGGCGGCACTGATAGGCAGCACTGATGCGCACTGATATGTGGCACTGATGCACACTGATAGGCGGCACTGACTGGCACTGATAGGCGGCACTGACTGGCACTGATAGGTGGCACTGATTGGCATTGATAGGTGGCACTGACTGGCACTGATGGGTGACACTGAAAGACAGCTCAGATGGGCACTGATATGTAGCATTGATGTGCACTGGTAGGCACTGATATGTGGAATTGATGTTGCACTGATGGGCACTTGTAGGTGGCATGGATGAGCACTGAGAGCTGGCACTGATGGACACTGACAGGTGGCACTGCTGGGGCTACACAGATCATCAGGGCACACTGATCCATGCACATGTCCCCTCTGAGGAATGTCGATTACCGGCTCTGCTCTCCTCTCCTCTGTCAGCGTGACAGCTCGTGAGGAGAGAAATGCCGATAACCCTGTTTACATATGATCAGCTGTGATTGGACACAGCAGATCACACGACCGAGCCGACATCTTCGGCTCTTTCTGTGGATCGGTGATTTGCTGTGTCCGAGGGACACAACACACCACTGATCACCACGCTGCGTGCTCTCGGAGCCGCGCATGCGTGGTTAGAATGGGAGGACGTCGTATGACGTCCTCCCAGAATGAGAGAACCACCTTGCGCCCGTCATCATACTATATGGCCAGCAGGAGGCGGTTAAAAAATCCTTACAGGATGTCGTCAACTTACAAGCTGACCTTAATGCACTGTTTAATCGGGCAACTATGTGGTAAATGAGGTTTAAGGTTGATAAATGTAAGGTTCTGCACTTGGAGGCTAAGAGTATGCATGCATCATACATACCGGGGGGGTACAACTGGGGGAATCAATGGTGGAGAAGGATCTGGGGGTTCTGGTAGGTCACAAGCTTAATAATAACATGCAATGCCAAGCTGCAGTTTCTAAAGCGAGCAAAATCCTCTCTTGTATTAAAAGAGGTATAGACTCCAGAGAGAGAGATATCATATTACCCCGGTACAAATCATTAGTAATACCTCATCTGGAATATGCAGTTCAGTTTTGGGCACCAATTCACAAAAAAAAACATTGGGGAACTGGAGAAAGTACAGAGAAGGCCAACCAAACTGATAAGAGGCATGGAGGAGATCAGCTATGAGGAAAGATTAGAGGAACTGAATTTATTCTCTCTTGAGAAGAGGAGATTAAGGGGGGATATGATCTCCATGTATAATACATAAGGGGGGATATGATCTCCATGTATAATACATAAGGGGGGATATGATCACCATGTATAATACATAAGGGGGGATATGATCTCCATATATAATACATAAGGGGGGATATGATCTCCATGTATAATACATAAGGGGGGATATGATCTCCATGTATAATACATAAGGGGGGATATGATCTCCATGTATAATACATAAGGGGGGATATGATCTCCATGTATAATACATAAGGGGGGATATGATCTCCATGTATAATACATAAGGGGGGATATGATCACCATGTATAATACATAAGGGGGGATATGATCTCCATGTATAATACATAAGGGGGGATATGATCTCCATGTATAATACATAAGGGGGATATGATCTCCATGTATAATACATAAGGGGGGGATATGATCTCCATATTGCCTCTCGGGGAATGAGGAAGGAATTTTTTTCCCAGCAGGAGCAAATTGGATCATGCTTTGCTGGGTTTTTTTGCCTTCCTCTGGATCAACTGTGGGTATAGGATTATAACTTTTTTTTTTTACTATGGTTAAACTGGATGGACTTTTGTCTTTTTTCAGCCAGACTAACTATGTAAAAATTTGTAAAGTCATAAATATGGCTGAGAACATAAAATGAAGCCAATCAAAAACAATCCTATTACAACCCAGTGACAGTATTGTAACAGTATAGCCAGGTGTCACCAAGAAAGGTTACCAGAAAGGTGTGTGTGGAGGGTGTGATTCAGCATAATCTGTTATGAACATATTCTAGTATATTTGTGACATGCTTAGTAGGGTTGTATCAACACTTCGGGCATTCGGCTGCTTTTGAATCATTTATGACAGTATTCCAGCCAGTGCACTATGTTTTATGATGAGTAAATGTTATTTTATATGGTTTAGCATTTTTACT